TGGTGTCACCGAGAACCTTTCTAGGTGCCTTGGTGTCTCAGAAGGTTAAGCATGGGACTGCCAATTGCAAGGTTCAAACCCACCAGCTGCTCCTCAGGAGAATGATGAGGCTGTCTCCTCCCGTAAAGATTTACAGTCTTAAAACCCAAAGGAGCAGCCTTGCTCTGCCCTGTGGGGTCCCTATGAGTCAGAGTCAGCTTGATGGCAGTGGGTGGTAATCTGGAAAAAGAGCCCTGGCAGCACAGTGGGGTAAGCATTGGACTGATAGCCACTAGGTCAGCAGTTCAAATCCATCAGCCATTCTTTTTATTTTGTTTTGTTTTACATGCCTCTGTCCTTTTTTTTTTATTGTTTTATTAGGGGCTCATACAACTCTTATGACAATGCATACATACATCAATTGTGTAAAGCACATTTGTACATTCATCGCCTTCATCATTCTCAAAATATTTGCTCTCCGCTTAAGCCCCTGGCATCAGCTCCACATTTTTCCCCTCCCTTCCTGCTCCCCCCTCCCTCATGAACCCTTGATGATTTATAAATTATTATTTTGTCATATCTTGCCCTGTCCGACGTCTCCCATCACCCACTTTTCTGTTGTATCCCCAGGGAGGAAGTCACATGTGGATCCTTGTAAATGGTTCCCTTAATCAGCCATTCTGAGCAAGAATAACAAAGCAGTCCGCTCCTATAACGACTTCCAGTCTCAGAAACCTTATGGGTCAGTTCACTCTGTCCTTTAGGGTCACTGTGAGTCGGAATTAACTCGAAAGACGTGGGGCAGGGAGGGTTGGGCTGTGTGTCTGTGTGTGTGTGTGTGTGTATAGAGTCACCTAACATAGCAGACCAACCCCTGCAAAGGTGGTCAACCTGCAACTTTTAAAATACTGTCCAGTCCAATATATCCCACATGTTCCCCCCCACTGCGGTCTTTATCTTTAACACATCAGTTTCTTATTTTTTTAATTGTTGTTGGTTGGGATGTCAGAATAATACTGGTTTTGTAGCTGAGTTGAGAAATTCTCTTTTCTGTTCTGTTTTTGGGAGAGATACATGTAGAATTAATATTATTTCTTCCTTGAAAAGTTTAATCGAGTCCACCAGTGAAGCTATTTTTGTGTATAGTGTTTCTTTGTGGTAAGGTTTTAAATGACAATTTCCGTGAGTAAACTTTAATATATGTTTCTCAAGGAATTTGTCACTTTTACCCAAGTAGTCGACTCTGTGACATAAAGTTGCTCATAATATTATTTCGTTATCCTCCACATGCTTGATTCAGGTCTTTTAAGTGATCTCCTCAGTCTCTCTGTAACTTTTTGACCATTTGGAATACAGTTAAAATAACTATTTAAATACCCTTGACTCATTCAAGGAACTCTGGTGGCGTAGTGGTTATGCTTTGGATTGCTAACTGCAAGGTCCACAGTTCAAAACCACCAATTGCTCCTTCTACTGGGGCACAAGTTACAGTGTCGGACGCTCACAGGGACAGTTCTACCCTGTCCAGTAGGGGCGCCACTCTGAGTCGGCATCAACTTGGTGGCAGTGAGTTGGAGGGTTTTTTGGTTTTGTTTCTTTAACTTACTCTAACATCTGTTTAGTTCGGTGAGTCTCAGTTATGCTTCTTTACGGATCAGGTTTTTGAATCTTTTTTTTTAAAAAAAATCATTTTATTGAGGGCTCGTACAATTCTTATCACAATCCATACATCCATCCATTTGTGTGAAGCACATTTGTACATTTGTTGCCATCATCATTCTCAAAACATTTTCTTTCTACTTGAGCCCTTGATATCAGCTCCTCATTTTTCCCACTCACTCCCTGCTCCTCCCCATGAACCCTTGATAATTTAAAATTTATTATTTTCTCATATCTTACACTGTCTCCCTTCACCCACTTTTCTGTTGTCCATCCCCCAGGGAGGAGGTTATATGTAGATCCCTGTAATCGATTGCCCCTTTCCACCCCACCTTCCCTCCACCCTCCAGGCATCGTCACTCTCACCACTGGTCCTGAAGGAATCATCCGTTCTAGATTCCCTGTGTTTCCAGTTCCTATCTGTACCAGTGTACATCCTCTGGTCTAGCCAGATTTGTAAGGTAGAATTGGGATCATGACAGTGGAGGGAGGGAGCATTTAAGAACTAGAGGCAAGTTGTATGTTGCATCATTGCTACCCTGCACCCTGACTGGCTTGTGTCCTCCCCACGACCCTTCTGTAAGGGAGTGTCTAATTGCCTACAGATGGGCTTTGGGTCTCTACTCTGTACTCACCCTCACTTACAATGATATGATTTTTTTGTTCTGATAATGGCTGATACCTGATCCCTTCGACACCTCGTGATCACACAGGCTGGTCTCCTTCTTCCATGTGGGCTTTGTTGCTTCTGAGCTAGATGGCTGCTTGTTTACCTGCAAGCCTTTAAGACCCCAGATGCTATATCTTTTGATAGCGGGGCACCATCAGCTTTCTTCACCATTTGCTTATGCACACATTTGTCTTCAGCGATCCTGTCAGGAAGGTGTGCATCATGGAATGCCAAATAATAGAACAAAGTGTTCTTGCATTGAGGAAGTACTTGAATGGAGGTCTAATGTCCATCTGCTGCCTTAATACGAATATATGCATGTAGATCTACTTCCCCACCATCCTATATAAATATATTTACATATGTACATGCCTGTATTTAGACCTCTATAACTACCCTATAAATACTCCTAGTTTTTGCCTCTATTTCCTTTTACTTTCCTCTTGTCTCACTATCATGCTCTGCCTTCATTTGGGTTTCAGTAATTCCTCTTGGTTACATTGCCCTTGCTGAATCCCTACCGGGCCTCTCACACCCTCCTTGCCACTAATTTTGGATCACTTGTTATTCCCTTGTCCTTGGGTTGGTGAACACCACCTCCTTTCCCCCACCTCCCCCTCTCCCATGTCCCCCCAGAACCATTGGTCCCGTTATTTTCTTTTCCAGACTGTTCATCAGCCTGTCTTATCTAGATAGATCTGCAGATAATGATATGTACCAAAAAACACGGCATAGCAAGACAAAGTGATAAAAGAGAACACAACGATGACAACAAAAAAGAAAACCAATGACTCAGAGAAAACTGAATTAATTAAAAAGAAAAAAGAAGGAAAAAGAAAAAAAATTTTTAAAGAAAAACCTGTAAATCAAGGTCTGATTTTTGACCTCTAGGTATATCCTCCAGTCAAGTCTGATGGGGTGCCACGCTCTGACCTCAAAGTCTGTCCTTTGCACTCCCTCGGGAGCTCCCTCCTCTGCTCCACCCCCCCCTCACCCCTCACCCCCACCCCCCCATTGTTCTGCCTCATACCTTTAGTGGTTTGCCTCGGTGTCGCTGGGTCAGCCAGAGCCAGTCCTGACACTGAGTCTCCAGTGTTGTCCCCTTAGGGCCCTGGGCCAGTGAGGGACAGCGTGTCTCATAGTGGGATTAGCCGTATGGTCTACTCTGTGCATTGGCTGTTCAGAGCGGGGATATCGTCCTCCAGGCCTGGTGGGCCAGGATGTGCTTCACTCTCTCTTCCTCCCCATTCATTTGCTCCGGTGTGCTCTGATCAGACATGTCCCTCTCCCCTAGCTGCAGCTTCAGTGCCGTCCTTTAAAGTAAATTCTTCTGGGTGAATCTCTATCTTGATGAATGGTGAGCACTTCTGTATTCCTGAAATCTCCTTGAACTTTGCTCTCGGGTGCACTTAAGTTCCTTGGTTGGTTCTCAGCAGGTCCCAGAGCAGTGCTGACAGATGCAAGATGTTCTGAGTGCTCTGAATTTGACTTTTTCCAGGCTGGAGGGCGGATGCAGGCACTGCTACTGGCTGTGGGGGAGGGTCTGGCACTATTCTCTACTCCTTTTGAGTGGCTCTTTCCTCCACTGTGCGTAATGTGCTCACACTCATGTGCTGAGGAGTGCTTTGGTGAACACTCCAGGGGGAGCGTCTGTAGGTCCCAGGGTTCTCTCTGTGCAGCAATCTCCACGGTCTTTTGGGGTTCTCAGCTGACTTCCCACAAGTCAAACAGACCACCTGGCCCCATCTCGGCTCCCCATCCCTGCTCTATGACCTGGAAATGCTGCCATGAGCCAATTCTGACACTCAGGGACTCTGTCGGACAGAGTAGAACTGCTCTCTTGGGTTTCCAAGGCTGTAAAGAGGAGATAGCCTTGTCCTTCTTTCAGGTAGCTGCTGGGTTCGAACTATTGACCTTGTAGTTAGCAACCCAACCACCCATTCCACCGCCAGGGCAGCTGTGATCATTGTAAAGCTCATCTCATTTGTTCCTGTGTTTAAGAGATCACTGTCCTTCATTGCCTGATATTGAATGTCAAAACCTACTATTATATTTTTGTCGTGTGTGTGTGTGTGTGTGTGTGTGTGTGTGCTTGTGTCTGCTACCCAATCTTGTCTATACTGTATCTTTGAGGAATTTACTAGCATCTTTTAAATGGCACGTATGTTATATAAAGAGAGTTCTGATCTTCCATTTTAATAAGAAAACCAAACCTACTGCCACGGAGTCAATTCCAAATCATAGCAACCCTCTAGGACACAGTAGAACCGCCCCTTTGTATTTCTAAGACTAAATCTTTCCACATGTCGACAGTCTCCTCTTTCTCCTGTACAGCAGCTGGTGGGTTTGAACTGTGGACTTTGTGGTTAGCAACCCAACTCCACGTCCTCAGGGCTCCTTGTAAGTAAGAAGAGTACGTGGATGTAGACTTTAGGCCCAAGCTGCTTGTATTAGGGACTTGGTTCTAACTCCTGATAGCTGGGAAGTATGTTGGGTAAGTCACTGAGTGTGAGAAGTGGGGCAGCAGCAGTGGGTGTGAGGCTCGGTCTGTGATGGCGCATAGCAGATGACAGACGTGTAGTGAGCTGATCGTCAATCACCAGCAGTGGAACAGAAGGTAAGCCTTGATTCATTGGTTCACAGTCACTGAATGTTCGTATCTCACTGTCTCATGGAATGCTTCTGTCTGTAGGTCTGCTCTGGCCGCAGCCATCCTGGCAACCACATTGACTGGACAGATCGTGGCCCTTCCTCAGCCTTGCCAGAGATCCCTGTCGGAGAGTGACATGACATATGTTGGAAAGGACAGCGTCATTGAGCCCTATGCCACCACCGCAGAGCTACGGCCTCGGTAGGGACTGTCTCACTGGCTTTTCTTCTCTCAGGGGAAGGAGAGGGGCTGCCTGGCTGTGTGCGTTTATGCTTAGAGTCTTTTGTTTTTGTAGGTAATAGCTTTTACTTACATTAAATCGGGACTGTAATGCATGCTTTACAAAGTTGTACTATTCAACTATTTTTGTACTTCCATTTTGTAGATTTATAAGCAAATCTTTGAAATGGAGGGAGGTTGAGTTCTTTGCCCAATAGCTCACTACCAAGATATAGCAAGCTCAAATGCTTCCTCCCTGCCCCCCTCCCCCCACTATCATGATCCCAATTCTACCTTGCAAGTCAAGCTAGACCAGAGGATGTACACTGGTACAGATAGGAACTGGAAGCACAGGGAATCTAAGGTGGATGATCCCTTCAGGACCAGTGGTGTGAGTGGCAATACCCGGAGGGTGGGGTGGGAAGGGGGAACCGATTACAAGGATCTACGTGCGACCTCCTCCCTGGGGGACAGACAACAGAAAAGTGGGTGAAGGGAGACATCAGACAGTGCAAGGTATGACAAAATAATAACTTATAAATTATCAAGGGTTCATGAGGGAGAGGGGAGCGAGGGGGGTGAGGTGAGGAGCTGATGCCAGGGGCTTAGGTGGAGAGAAAATGTTTTGAGAATGATGAGGGCAATGATTGTACAAATGTGCTTTACACAATTGATCTATGTATGGATTGTGATAAGAGTTGTATGAGCCCCTAATAAAATGATTTTTAAAAAAAAGAAAAATCAAGTGCTAGAATGTAATAAAAATTTAATTATAAAGAAAAGAAATAACAAGCTCAAGATTAAAGCAAACCAACAAGAAACAAACTCACTGCCATTGAGTTGATTCTGACTCCCAGCCACCCTGTAGGACAGCGCAGAACTGCCCTCGTGGGTTTCCAAGACTCGTCTTTACGGGAGTTGAAGGCCCCGCCTTTCTCCTGGCTAGCAGCTGGGAGCCAAGTGCCGGTCGTGCACTTAGCAGCCTAGTTTATGATGGGAACCCGAGCAGCGCTCCAGCATCAGTCTAAATGTAGAACCCTTCGGGTCTTCAGGACTCTTAATGACGGCCCCCCAATGGTCACCTGAAATGGCTCTTTCATCATATGAGATTCCAATATATGTATTTTAAATTTATTCTTAGTGGGGAGTTAATACATCTATCATATCATTCCCTAATTCAATCACACCAAGCAGTATTGTACATCGTCTCCCTTTTACACCTGTCCCCTCCCACCCCAACCCGTATTCTACTTGCTGTCCCTGTAGTCTCATTAATCCTGGGTTTCTTTTTCTTTTTTTTATTCATTTTATTGGGGAGTCATACAACTCTTATCACAATCCATACATACATCAATTGTATAGAGCACATTTGTACATTCATTGCCCTCATCATTCTCAAAACATCTGCTCTCCACGTAAGTCCCTGGCATCAGCTTCTCATTTTTCCCCCTCCCTCCCCCAATCCTGGATTTCATATGCCAAAAACCAGAAAAACATATAACACAATTTTAAGAGGGTGACCCCCAATGACATAACACCCCTGAGATACACCCTAATATGAACAAACAAAAATACCGAAAATGTTGAAAACTAGATAAGGTCAAGCATGCCTGAGGGGAAATCACCTGACAGAGCTCGAAGTGTGCAAGTTTGTCCCTCGGATCTTCTGTACTCACCTCTCCAGTGCACTCTGTGTGGTCGCCACTGTCCCCCACCTCAATCATGGACAGAGGCGATTCCCTACGTAGTTCCCACAAATGTCCCCACAGCCTTCTGCAAACCGCATTCTCACGATTTAGGCTATGATACTAATCCCGCCTTCAATTTGGGATTATCTGATCTACAATCCTTCAGTGACTAATGATGGTGTGCTTCTTCCATGTGGACTTAGTTGACATCTCACTTAAATGCCTGCTTGTTTGGCAACATCTATTTTATCTGGGCACCATCTAATTTCTTCGCCACATTTTCCTCTAGCACCCATATCTCCTGTGTTCCCTTCCTGAGTGCAAGTATCAAGTAGGGCCTTGATGTAAGAACGCATTTTTCTTAAGGTAGGTGACTCAACATTAAGCATTGGTACATAGCTACACAGAGGAAGGAAACGTTTCAACAGTGTGACTAACAATAACCCACTGTCATTGAGTCTATTCTGACTCATAGCAACCCCGTATAGGGTTTTGAAGCCTGTGAATCTTTATGGGAGCTGCAGCCTCCTTTTAGTACTGAGGAGAGATTGGTGGGTGTGAACCACTGACCTTGTGGTTTGTAGTCCAATGCTTATCCAGCAGTACTGTCTTTCACCCTTAGAGCTGCTGGTGGTTTCGAACTGCCAACCATGTGGATCATAATCCAACTCATAACTACTACACCACCAAGGAGCCAAATCTGTTTTGAGGCCTGTTTAATATCATATTCCAAATGTCATACACAGATTTCCTGTTTTTTCTCTCTTTTTTTTAGCCTTCCCCCCTCTTTGTAGCTATACACAAATTTCTATTGAGTATAAAGGCTCATCTATGTATACACTTAAATAAGATTATGGAAGTCAGTATCTAGTCCTTATAAACCTCTCACGTGGATCTATCTGCCTCTCATTTCTATGCTATGAATTTAGGAAGTTAGAAACAGACCTTTGTATTTAAAAATGTGTGCAAACCGACATAAGATTTATAGTCAATAGAACGACAAGCTCTGGGCATTTAGGAGAAAAAGCGAATCTTGAACTGGGGTGCGTGCACTGGGATCTGCGTAGATAGTGATGAGGCCACTAACACACAATTGCCAGCTGCAGGGTTGTAACTCTCCATGCAAACCTGTGGGAAAATGCCCGGCTAAGCCAGAAAAGCCGATGCCCACCATAAGGTTTAAAGTGTAGGAAATATGACCCGTGTAGTGAGAGGTTGGGGAAGTGGAGTATGCTGGGGCCGTGTGGGATGCATATAGACTTGCAGTTTGTGGTTTGACTCAGCCGTTCGCTACGTGGTGGGTTGGTTTTGTTTCGTAGGACCACGTGCTGCTTGTGCCAAGCGGGTTGTTGTAAAACAACATCACCATGCCCGGTGCTGCGCCATCCTCCTCCTCCTCGTGTGTGAGCCATTGTTGCAGCCTTGGTGTCTGTCCACCTTGTCGAGGGCCTTCCTCTTTTTCGCTGCCCCCCGACGTTACCAAGCCTGCTGTCCTGCTCCAGGGACTGGCCTTTCCTGCTAACATGTCCGAAGTATGAGAAAACTTAGATGTTCTTTCCAGGATTATTTATAACAGTGCAGACCTGAAGAAACTTAAGCTAAGGGAAAGGCTGACTAAACTGGTACATCCACTCGATTCCTACCTCTGAACCTGTTGATTATGAATGAAGTCTTGGTAATGAGCAGGTAAACTGTGTATCGGGCAGGTGAACTAATCAGAAAGGCAGGAAAATGGAAAGCAATGCCTAGAGTCTGCCGAGAGATCCAACAGGAGAAGGGGACTCATCTTTTTGCATGTATTTTTTTGTATGCAGTGATCATACTTTTACGGTGGAGATGGGGGCAAATGCATTTAACATGTGCCTTCTTACCCATGGGAAGTCTTAAAGAGTTTGCTTCTGTGCCTGCCCTTCCATGTTGTCATATAGAACAACTTGGCAGAATGTGATGGAACGGGGAACTTCTTTGCCATCCTTTGAAACAACACTGGGCGACAGGGAGGAAGAGGACAATGACACGCACCTGTCATCCAGCCCCAAGGAGGTGGGGGACAGCAGCACTTGGAAAGAGGCGGCAGAGCTCAAGGATGCGCTGTATGCAGCACCGCACAGAGATCAGGTGACTGTCAATGCTGGGTTTTTCTTTTGCCCTGATGTGGCACTCCACTGTGTGGAGTGTACAGAGGGTTCCAAGAGTTTTGCCCTGATGTGGCACTCCACTGTGTGGAGTGTACAGAGGGTTCCAAGAGTTTGTGGGAAAATGCCGCTGTCTTTCCCCTAATTGTTCTACAGGCATGGTGAGGCTCCCTCATATTCGTAAGGGTTTTCCGTTGTCCTTTTGACAGACTTTGATTTGTTTGTTAAAGCAGTTCAAATTCATTTCCCCTGCTGATTAGGCTCACATTTAAGTGTTTGTCTTTTAACTTTCAAAGAAGGGAAATCTCTTCATATTCTTGATGTCCATTATCTTCCAGGGTGAGTAACTTTGTTTCCTTTGACCCCAAACTTAATGTTTCTGTTGCTCTTCCAGGATCAGTCTGCAGAGCACAACCTTTCTTCAAGCCGGGCCTCCTCAGAGGGATGCTATACTTTGTCTCTTAGTGCTAGTAACATTTGGATGGTGGGAGGCTTCTTCTGTTCTATCAGGAAATGAGGTTTTCGGTGGACACACGTAGACAGCAAACATGGTTGTCTGGATGCAGGTCCTCATGGGACTGGCCAGCAGTCCCTGTTCCCTTGGGAACTAAGACACCAGTGCCAGAACCATGGCGGGCAGCGCTGGGGCTGGGGCTGGGCCGGGCAGCTGGGCCCTGCCAGGCTGTCACAGATGGGGTGTCGTGTTCATCATCTCAGCATAATTTGAGTGGCATTGCCTTTGCCACCCAGGCTTTTCCCTAGAGGCCCTGAGGTCTCATTCCTTCCTGCCAAATCAGTCCTCTTTTCAAACACACGTGTTACGGTGAATTGGGTGAATTACAGAGTAGGTCATCACTTGGACATTCAACAATTCAGGCACATGCAGTTTCTTCTCCCTGAAAGCCCCTCTGTGTGAGATTAGCACCCATTCCTCCCTGTGTCCTGTCTCCATTCCTCCTCCTCTCCCCACCCTCTTGAGCCATGCCCTTGGGTGAATGCTGCCCCTGGATCCCAAAGGGTCCACCATGCTAGGGTGTGGGCACCTGTGCCTCACCGTGGGTGGTGGTGACTGAAGCTGCTTGAGCAGAGCGGTCGCAGGGGCAGGTGCGAAATAAGACATTGGCGTTTGTGAAGAGGACATTTTAAAAAAACTGATCACATACCTGCTTTTTCAGCTTCTTATTTTTATTTTTTATTAACAATAAAGGTTCCATTGTCACATGCAGTGGACAGTGAGGAAGATGAAAATATTTCAGAGCAAGATGGGTTTCCAGACACCTCTGTCACACCCCGGTGTCCACCAGAAGAAGGTGAGACCCAGGGTAAGCTTCTAAAGATGCCGAAGTATCGTCACCTGGTAATAAATGTGGCTGAATTTCTGGGCAGAGGCCACCAGCAGATCTCGAACTGTGGCTGTCTAATTATGACAAGAAATGTGCCAGAACTTTATTCTCCTCCTAGTAAGCTCTGCACGGTGCTTACCCGCGTGCAAGGTGGGCTTCAAAATGTAAGGTGCTGCCTTTGGCATGCTTTTGTCTCCTGCATCAGCAGCCCAGGAGGGGGGCTTATGCTCAGCTCTCCGAAGCCTTCTAGGCTGGCTTCCTGCGGCTCCCCGGGGCCAGTTGCTGCCCGACACACCGTGGTGTTCTGCTGAGCTGCTGAGAAGGGAGGAAGGGAGTTAGGAAGTTCCGCTTTGCTCCCTGTACACTGTCCCCGGGGCCTCGCCCCGCAGGGGCCCTTCGGGCACCGTTTTATTGGCATATTTTTGAAACCATTCTGTGAGTGCTTGATTTGGCAGGAAGATTTCCACGCCTTATAGTGAAGGTTGCTGTTGGTTGTCAACAAGTCGGCTCTGATTTGGGGTGACCCCACGTGGGCAGAGGTAGAGCTGCTTCATTGGGTTTGCAGTGCCAGCCTTCTGAGTGGTGGAGTTGAGCTGCGAAAGGGCCCAGTGTTTAGCCCACAGTGCCACAAGGACTCCTTGCAATTTGAAACCCACAACCAAACCCGCTGCCATTGAGTTGATTTCGACTCATCCTGACCCTGTAGGTCAGGGTACAACTGCCCTGGGTGTTTCCTGGACTGTGACTCTTCACAGAAGTCGAAAAGCTGGTCTTTTTCCCTCCCACACCAGGGCTCCTGGTGCTTTGAAAGGAGAATGTGGGGTTTTGGTGGTGGTGGTGGTGGTGTTATTTTCATTTATTCTCACAAAGGGAATGTTTAATGTAGAGAATAACAGTTTTTGGAGTTGCTGCGCCATTGTGTCCACTAATGGTGTGTGAGATGTGTGCCCAAGCCATTGGTTGGATTGTGCACTGTTGTCAGAAAGCAGCAAGATTAGCAGTTCAAAACCACCAGCTGCTGCTCTGTGGGAGAAAGAAGGGGCTTTCTTCAACTATAAAGAGTTACAGCCTCAGAAGCCCACGGAGCAGTTCTACTCTGTTCTATAGGGTCTCTATGAGTGGGCATGACTCATGGCAGTGAGTTTGTGTTTGTGTGTGTTTTAATCAGAAAGCAGCACCCCCGCTTACTCCAGCAGCTCTCCAGCGCCCTCTACCAGCAGAGTTTATCACCAACCCAATGGCCTGCCCCAGCCTCAGAAGCCACCTATGAAGGGTGGGATTTGTTGCTTAGGGACAATAAAGTAATAGCTAGCACGCTGGTAGACATGCCTGTAGAGCCCAAGTGGTGGCTGGGAGGCAGTGTGGCTCCTTCAGGGGCTCCGAGTTTGTGGTGAGCATTAGAAGCATCAAGATGCTTGTGGGTGTTGGAGAAGAATCTTGAATATATCATGGACTGCCAGAAGAAGAAACACATCTTTTCTTGGAAGAAGTACAGTCAGAATGTTACTTAGAAACAAAGACAATGAGACTCTGTCTTACATTCTTTGGATATATGATCAGAAGGGAGAAGTTCCTGGAGAAAGATGTCATTCATGGAATAACAGAGGGCCATAAAAAGAGAGAGAGAAAGGCCATCAATGAGATAGATTGATATCATGACTGCAACAATGGACTTACATACAGCAATCACAGTGAGAATGGTTCAAGAGCAGTTCACGTTTCCTTCTGTACATAGCATCTGTTTGGGAACTAGCTCGAGGGTACCTATAGCGATGACAGTAAGGTGTGGCAACTGGACTAATGGGACACATCCAATGTCTTGGCAGGGTTCAGTAACTCCGTAGTCTTACAAAATTTAGTACTAGAAAAAAATTACCTTACAAAATATAAACTACTTTCACAGGATTTCATTTCACAACAATCTAGATTATCTCTGTTGTTAATATTCCTTCAAATGCATGCTAATTTATTGATGATTTGATATTACAACTTTTCCACATCTATGTTCAAGTTAAATGCACATTAGAAACATAAAGATTAAAATTTGTTACATAAAGAAAACTTTTAGTACTATTAAAGTTTTTCCAGTCATGTAATTATAATGATTTCTTTGTTGTTCTTGTACTATATATAGACTCTACTTGCTTTTGATATTTAAATTACACCAATATTTCATCCGTTTAGTAGAGTTGTTTGAATACTTATGCATTCATTATATATCTATTGTTTTCCTTCAGGAGTTTTAGAGTCTAATAAAATTATCACAGCATTTTCAGCAGGAAAAAAAAAAAAAAAGATGCTTGTGGGACCTGAATTGCAAATAGGTGGAAAATTAGTAACGGAGCAGAATAACTTTTATCTCTATGCTGAGGCATTTTTTTCAAGGAACAGCACCGTGGGAGTGGGGCTTCCCTGCAGAGTGGGAACCCTCTGGGGAGGGGAATGGCAGGGTGGAGGGGGGGAGGAGCCCAGAGTCCCTCTGAGGAGTTGGGTCTTGGCTCTGTCATCATGGGAGCCACCGTGATTGATGCCCAGCTGAGGAAGGAAAGAGACGGACAACCCAGTGTAGTGCCCTGCCTCCCCCTGGGCCCATCTTGCCATGTGACCTTAAACCATCCACCTACCCGGGGAGTGGGTGGGGCTGATTATCATCTATAGTCGGCAACTTCCTGCGATTTACTTTTCTGAGATGTCAAAGTTCTGCATTTGTTTTAAAAGTTCTTTTTATCTTCCACCCCCACTGCCCCTTCTCTTTAACCAGATGGCAAACACTCAGTTCTGAATCTAAAGGTAAGATAATTTTTAAAAACCATTTTCTCAAGAGATAAAATATCCATCCTCATTTTTAAACAGCACCCATGATTTGTGGGAAAAACACGAGATGCGGCTTCGAAAATTTTGTGGAAAATTCCATTATCTTTCATTCCATTTTCCCACGACCTTTGTGAAGCTGCTTTGTATCTTGCATTTCTCACTAAAGGGCTCCTTTCCTCTGGGGAGGTAACAAGCGCTTGCATCATTAGCACAGAGGATAGACCATTATAATGACTAATTTGCTGGCAAGGGAGAGTTCCACCTGAGGTTCATATTGTGCTATGCCACAGATAGTGAGAAATTAGACTGGCCGGTGCACAGGCTGTTATACAGCATAACTAGACAGGAGAGCAACGGTCCAAGGTTGCTCTACTTTAACACGGTACAGGGTGGGTTTTCTTGCAATTCCCAGTTCTTCTCAAACTCTTCAAAGGGAGGTAGCTCCAGCCAGGTCTGCAGGAAGGCCCTTCCTTCATGATTTACAGTGCATTTGTAAGATGCACAGAGCAAACGAAGAACTACAAGAACCAAACCGAGGGGGGAGACCCTTGTGCTGGAATAGTTAGTCAGCGGTATCCTGGCTGCGTGTGGGAGCCTGCTGTCAGAAGCTGCCAAGCCTCTGTAACCTGTCGCTTTCATGTTTTGTCTTTCCTAGGATGCAAAGACCCCGTTATATGAAAAGCCTCCACCATCCCCAGGTAGCTGTCTTCTGAATTTCCTGATGACTGAAAAGCTTATTTTTTTAGAGACAATCTGGAATAATCAGAAAATGAAAGTCTCTTTTCCCTCTCCTTGGACACCGATTCCCTCTGTCCTCTGTTATAGGAAGTAGGAAAGAGTTCTTGAACTTCCATCTCTGCCTCAAAAGACAGAGCCCAAACTCTGGGTGGTGGACTCTGTTGATATGTTCGGATGCTGGGTGGGTGGATGAACTTGTGGGTGTGTTAAATATTGGGTGGGCGGGTAGATGGGCCTGTGAGATGTGCTCAGATGTTGAGAGGGAGGGTTGGGGAGCTATGAATGTGTTCAGATACTGAGGGGTGCTGCGGGAACTGTGGGATATTCTTAGATGTTGAGTGGGTGCTGGGTGGGCCTGTAGTATGCATTCACATAGTAGGTGGGTGGCTGGAACTGTAGGATGTGCTTGGATGCTGGGTGGGTGATGGGTAGGCCTGTAGGATATACTCAGGTGCTGGGTGGCTGGAAGACCCTGTTGATGTGTTCAGGCACAGCACAGTTGTGTGGGTGACCTGAGAGATGTGCTCAGGTGCTGAGTGGTGACTGAAAGGCTTGTGAGTGGGGGTCTTCAGATGTAAATGCAGTGGGGGGTGCTTCCTATATGGACAGGTGACTAGGTAACTGGAGGGTGGGTAGTTGCATATGAGAGCTTGCTCACGGGATGAAGGCAGAAAGTCCTGGAGATGCTCTCTGGAGTCTATGCCCTATGTAGTTTGGGGAGTCTCAGTAGCTTCAAAGTGGATCTTATATTTTTAACTGAATGTCACACCACTAACCTGAAATCCTATTAGCTGTCAACACTGTGTTCTCTGTGTTGGACTGACGTTCTCTGTGGGTGAGGAGGAATCAGCTTGGCGGCAGTTGTTTCTCTCTTTTTGAGTATTCTATACAGGAGCCCTGGTGGCATAGTGGTTACACATTGGGCTGCTAACCTCACGGCCTGCAGTTTGAACCCATCAGCCATTCCCCCAAAGAAAGACAGGGCTTTACTCTCGTAAAGAATTACAGTCTCGGCAGCACAGGGGCACTTCCGCCTGTCCTCCAGGCTCACTGTGAGTCCGCATCACTCGATGGCAGTGAGGAAGATGGGGCTTCTGTTTCTGAAGTGATTTCTAGTCTTGAAAGCCCACAGGGACACTTCTGCCCTGTCCTCCAGGCTCACTGAGTCAGCCTCACTCGATGGCAGTGAGTGTGCGGGAGCCCTCGGGGGTAGCACCAAAGGTCAGCACCTCAGGAAAAAGATGAGGCTTCTGTTTCTGAAGTGATTTCTAGTCTTGAAAGCCCACAGGGAGGGGTAGTTCTGCCCTGTCCTGCGGGCCACTGTGAGTCAGAATAAGTTTGATGGCAATGAGCTTGGTTTTTTCACTGCTGGAAATTTTCTGGGTCTCCTAGGTTAATGCTTCACCCTGCTGCTCAGCCCATCCTTTGCATTGTATTTATCCATGAAACAGTGGTTTCCACGGCTTTCTTTCTCCAGGGATCTTAACTGCACTCATTCCCCAGTCTTGTCCATCGTGTTACAACTGCCTTTCCTCAGTTCTTTGACTTAGGTGCTTCCTGTAACTCGATGTTCTTGGTGTTGTGTCTCCTTGGTCCTTGAGCCCTGGTCCCCCTCTTTTGCAAAGTTGCAGGCTACTTAGGGGGGCGGGGGGTGGGGCACCAGCAAGCTGCTAGGTATAATCTGCCTTTCCAGTGATTGATGGACGGTCAGATGTCTGGCCAGCAGCAGAATGGGCCCCGTCTTCCGTATGTGTTTGTCTAGCTCCTTACCTTAAGGTCTGTGTGAATTGTCTGGCGAGGGACACCATCCCTACTGTTCGCTGCCTGCCCAGTGATGTGGGCCCCTCGCTGTGCTCACAAGCACTTCATGGGTTCCTCCCAGGTTACTTCCTGTCCCTGGGAAGTAGTGCTGACTTCTCTCTAGTGGTGAGAGACTTAGCAATACAAAACAGATCTTGACTTGTTCTTCTGTCCGTGCCCATCCAGTCCGTCATCAAACCTTGCCAGGTTTTAGCAGTCAACCTTCCCGTTGTTCCTTCCATGCTGCCTCCACTCCACAGCTACCTCAGGAGCCCCCTGGTTGGCCTCGCTTCCCTGCGGTGTCCGCATTGCAGTGCTCTTTCTTCACCGGGAGGGGTGTTGGATCTGTTTGGGGCCTCTTGCCATTTCACATACTGTCCAGGGCCTTTTCATTCCCCCCCTCTGCACTAAAGCTGTGCTAGCTCCTGCAGCCGAAAACTCAATTCTGCATTAAATATGCAAGCTCCTCTCCCTCCCGCCCAGACCCCACCGTGGTACACACCCCCACATCCACATTCCTGGTCTCTCACCTTCCCCTCTTCTCTCACCCTTTTCCTGGACAAGCCATTCGCTTTCCAGGGACAAAAGAACAAAGTACAAGGTGTGTTAGTTGTTTGTGTTAGTCGTTTTTAAAATAAAGGTTCGAGAAATTTTGGTGTAGAAGTGTAAAATATCCACTTTAATTTTCAAACTCTTTCTGTGTGCATTTTCAGATGTAACTGGCAGAACACGTCCACGGTATATAGAAATAACCAAGGAAAAGTTGGAGGAACTGAAAGAAGAAAACTTGATACTGAACCACACCAATCAAGGCCTCGCCCTGGAGCTCAGTGCGATACGGAAAGCAATGAAAGAACTGCAGCTCAAACTTAAGAAAATGGAAAAGGAAAACAGAGGACTGAAAGAGGCGCCCCGGGAAGGTTGGGATACGGACCCTGTGCTTTTATTAGCACGTCACTCCGTTTTACATTCGTTTTGAGAGTGAACGTTTTCTGTTGTAGTATTTGTTGAAAACATCCCTACACTGGTACAGATAGGAATTGGAAACACAGGGAATCTAGGACAGATGAACCCTTCAGGACCAGTGGTGAGAATAGCCATACCAGGAGGGGAAGGGGAAGGTGGGGTAGAAAGAGGGAACCAATTACAAAGATCTACATATAACCCCCTCCTGGGGGACAGACAACAGAAAAGTAGGTGAAGGGAGACATCGGACAGTGTAAGATGAGATAGTTTATTGTGCCAGCCTGGCCGATAAACAGTGGGATTAACTGAAGGGCAGAGAGATAAATGGCTTGGTGAGCCTCGTCTTTCTTGTCATTCACTCTTTGATCATCGGACCAGTGTGCGGCTGCCTTCCTTGTTCTGTGCCTCAATTTATAGGCTACACTACCTGTGGAACGCCTAGCCTGTGGACTGTGTCGCTGTAAGTTGAGGTCCCTTTAAGACATCTCTGGAGCTGGGGACTGGCGCTTGGTGACCTGGCTGGCAGTTGGTGACCTGCCTTGTGATTGGCTGCTGTGCTGACATAGCCTAGCTCTCTCTATAAATAGAGGGACATCTGGCAGCAGACTAGACTTGAAGGACTGCTAGTCTCCCAACTTTCTCTCACTGACGTGAGTTGACTGAGCCATTTGTAGTGCTTTATAATTTAACTGTTTATTTCTTGTATTATATATTTATCTGTATATGATTTAACAGTTCATTTCTCGTTATATATCTCATTATCTTTATAAATAAATATATTAAATTATCAGCAATTTGGTTTTATCTCTCTAGAGAACCCTGCCTAATACAAAGATATGACAAAATAATAATAATTTATAAATTATCAAGGTTCATGAGGGAAGGGGGTTCCGGGGAGAGGGGAAAAATGAGCTGATACCAAGGGCTGACGTAGAAAGCAAATGTTTTGAGAATGATGAGGGCAACAGATGTACAAATGTGCTTGACACAATGGATGAATATATGAATTGTGATAAGAGTTGTACAAGCCCCTAATAAAATGATTTAAATTAAAAAAAGAAAAACATTCCAGCCCAGTCCAGATCAAGTCCATAAGTCCGATATTAGCCCATATGTGCAATTCCAATCTGTAAGTTTTTCTTCAGACTCACGAAACACATGCAATGATGCCAAATACAAGAAGATCACAGGCCAGTGGGTGCAAAGTCTTGTGGATCCAGTGGTGGTAAACTCATCAGCGGGTTTCCACAAGGCTCCTTCAGCACCAGGGCTCTAGTGTAACGCCATGTGTCTTGTCAACAGGTATGTCTCGCAGGGAGTGTGTGAGTGTCCCGCCTCCAGTGAGCTATTTATCTCCTTAGTGTCTCCAAGTGAGGTCATCAAGCTGCTACCTCATCGACAGGCTAAACTCCACCCCTTCACTCCTAAGTCTCAAATAACATCAGATTTTGCAACTACCACATGATGTTGCCATTTGGTTTTTCGTGTGCTGTGTTGTTTTTTCAGCAGTTTTTTTGGAGAATATGTTCAACAACATTTACACCAATTCAGTAGTCTTTCCATGTCCCATTCAGTGACATTTTGTACATTCTGTGAGTTGTGTGCCGTTTTTACCCTCCATTTCTGAGTTGTTCCTTCCTCGACAGCATCAGTTCACTGCCCCAACCCCCCTCCCCAAGAGTCCAGCTAGTCTAAGTTGCTGTGATCAACTTGGTCCATACAGAGAGTTCTTTAAAAAGCCTAATGCTCAAGGCAAATACTCTATTCGTTTGTAGTATGAGGTGGGGGTGCCAGCCCCTCATCACTTAATTATGGACTCAGTAAGCACAAATGTACGGTTGAGATATATAAATATTATATTAAAGTTATCAAGTGCATGAGAGATAGAAGAGAGTCAAATAATGGAGTCAGACACATTACATGGTAGCATTGCTCACCTCAACCCCCTTGGTGGTCCATGTGGAGAGAGGAGGAAGGGAAAGAGGACAAGGGGAAAGGGAAACGGGAGGAGAGGGAGCCGAGGAGAGGTCAAGGGAGGACCTGAGGGGGCGAGCCAGGAGAGAGTCTCTCTATTGCTAACCCAGGCCTATATACCTTTGGGGGCGTGCAAGCCCACTAATTACAGGTAAAGACATACGTCATAGGAAGGGGTTACACTATAGGTTATACAGTAATGGAAGGGGGTGGTCTAGGGGCATACACACAATAGGAAGAGGAGGGATTGGGGGTATACATGTGACAAGATGGGCGGATCCCAGATTTAGGATGGCAGTTTAACTTTGACCTGTTCTCTGGCTCTCCATAGGAACCATGATCAGTAGGGTGTGAATTCCACCTACAGGAACCAAATCAATGACTGCAGGCCTGTCCATTGTCCTTAACAGCAGGGAGCGGGGGCCACCCTCAGGGAGGATGCCTGCTAGCATCTGACCCCCCCCCCCCCCACATTAGTTAAGTGAAACTATTGTTTGGTTTTTAACATCGGGATATTTTTGATTTAAAGTTTAAAGATGATCATAGGACATAGTTTCATGGCTTCATCCAGGGAAGACCCCCCAGTCTTTCTTCATTATGTATGATGTGGACTGTTGTGTTTTCGTACATACTGTCGGGTTTCATATATGGTCTTTCAGAATCATATTATAGAATTTCTCTTCCATTCCAATCTTACTTAGGGTTGGATTTTACCAAGTGGGGTTTATGAACCCATGGAAGTGACCATGTGGTTGTTTTCCATTGTTGTGTTGCTATGGTGCATTATGTCCAATGATTTCCTAATGTTGATCCTTGCCTGCATTCCTGGAATAAACCCACGGAAGGGTTTGGTTTTGTTTGTTTTTTCAGTGTGCCTCCTTTAGTGTTGTTAGATTCTGTTCACTAGTATTTTGCTGAGAATTTTGGCAAGTATATTTATACTAGGGGCATTCTGGTGGCACTGTGATTAAAGCACTCGACTGCTACCAGAAGTCAACAGTTTGAACCCCCAGGTGCTTCGTGGGGAAAAGATGTGGTCATTGTTTTCTGTAAAGGTTTACATCTTTGGGTTTCCGTCTCTGGGCCAGTTCTCTTCTGTCTCATACGGTCGCTGAAAGTTAGAAATGACTGGACGACAACAGATTTTGGTTTGGGGTTATTCATAAGAGACATTGTTTTTGTATATGCTTCCTAGGATGATTTAAGTAGTATTCTTTCCCAACTTTTGGGAGATTTTGAACACATTGGGGTCAATTCTTCTATAAATGTTTGATAGGATTTCCCAAGTAAGATTTTTTTATTGGGAGGTTTTTAATTCACTGATTTGAACTCTTCCCTTGGTATGGATCTGTTAGGCTTTCTCTTTTCCTCTTGAGTCCGTTTGGGTGGGTTGTGTACATCTAAGAAATGTTACCCTTGCATTTAGAGTATCTAATTTGTTTTCATAAAATTGTTCATACTCTGTCATAATTATCTTTGTTTCTCTTGGGTCATTTGTGTTGTTACCTCTTTTATTTTTGTTGTTTTGCTATTTGCATATTTTCTCTTTGGTATTGTGATAAAACTGAAAACTCACTGCCAAGCTAGTTGATGCAGACTCACAGCGACCCTCTAGCCCAGGGTAGAACTGGTCCTGTGAGTTTCCAGGATGGAAACTCTGTGTAGGAGCACAAAGCCCCCTCTTTCTCCTGAGGGACAGCCCAGTGGTTTCAAACTGCTAGACTTTGCATTAGCAGTCCAGTGTGTAACCTCTGTACCCCCAGAGCGCCTGTAGTGTTGTGATGGTTTTGTCGATTTTCAAAGAACCACTTTCTGGTTTTATTGATTCTGTTTTTTTCTCCTATTTCTGCTCTGGTTGAGCTTTGTTACTTTCTTTCTTACTGGATTAGACTTAGTTGGCTGTTCTCATTCTAGTTCCTGGAGTTGTCAGTGTAGGCTGTTGATTTGAGCCTTTTCTTTAATCGTTTGGCATTTATTGCTGTAAGTTTCCCCTGAGTACTGCCTTTACCCATCCCATAAGTTTTGGAAAGTTGGACTTTCACTTTCATTTGACTCCAGGAAATTTGTGAATTGTCCTTGTTTTGCTTACTTTCTGTATGTTTCTACATTTTCTAGGTTTGGTTTTGTTTTTCTGTTATTGATTTTTAGTTTCATATGGTCGATGAAAATACTTGGTATGATTTCAAGCTTTTAATTTTTCTCCAGCAGTTTTATTGGCACATAATTTATATATCATACAATCCAATAGTTAAGTCATTCAGTCATATCAAGGAGAATTGTACAGTCATCACCACATCAATTTTAGAGGAACCCCCCCCCCCCAAAGTTAAGTTGCCTTTAAAATGAGTTGTGCAGTCACACTCCATTCTAGTGCTTCCTTCATTATTTACTCCTGAAACCCCCTTTCCCACCCTACCACTCACCACCCACCTCTGGTTTCCCTATGGCCCCTTTTATCAGTTATTATCATTATGCATCCACTACTCCTGTGCTTCACAGCTGGGAGACCCAACAGAATACAATAACAACCAAGCATGCTAAGGTGATAGGGTTAAATACATAATAGTATACTGAGTTAGTTTATTGTGCCAGCCTGGCCAATAAACACATGTGGGGTTAATTGAAGGGCAGAGTGATAAATGGCTCGGTGAGCCTCGCCTTTCGAGTTCTTGGGTCTCTTGCTTTGTGATGGTCGCACCAGGGTGCAGCTGCCTTAGCAGTTCCCTGCTTTAGCTTGCAAGGCTGACTTCCTGCAAGACATCCCCAAGGAGAAGCCACATGGACCTGGGTGCTGGAGCAGCTATGTAGAGACCCCTGCCAGAGCTGAGATGCTTACACATTCACTGACTTGGCTTTCCTCCTGCAGTCGGCGTCATTGCGTCTGCTCTGTGAGATGGAGGAGGACTTTCTGGATTGGTGTCGACATGTGGGCTAATGGGTTAACGTTGGACTTGTGGGCTTGGGCAGCACTGGGTTGGGATATTTTCTTGATGCACAGTTAACCTTATATAAAACTCTTATACTGAGTCTCTGTGGATTTGTTTCTCTAAAGTACCCAGACTAACACATTTACAGACAAAAATACAAATAATGGGTAAGAAGGGAAAAAAAGACCCCCACCAACCTTCAAAAAGCCAAGGAAGAAATTTCTGCCGTGGAACCAGTAAGAGACACTTGCACCCAGGACAGATTCAGGTCATGTCTATAGGGTGGTCACCTGGCCGAGTGTTGAGTTTGATCCAGCATCATCAGGAATACAATGGTCTCTGCCTGATAGGAAGGCTGTTTGAGACTTGTGCCTGAGGCCAGAGCGGATCTGCCAGCAATCCACTCTGACCAGATATTCTGCAGATGGGTTTTGGGCTCCCACGGTCGCCTAGCCCTCCACAATTGGGTGTTCATAATTTTAGCTCTGATGATTTTCTCCTTACCATATTCTAATTTTATAATAATTGTCATCTCTGGATCACAGAAGCTGATGTGCTTCACACAAGTCCGAGTGAACTTAGTTGATGCCTTGCTTAGATGGCTCCTTGTTTTTAGTACAAGCCTTTAAGACCCCAGACACTATTCCAATTGATAGCCGGGCACCATCTGCCTTCTTCACCGCACTTTGCTTTAGCACCCGTAATTTCAGACTTTTTAAATGTGCATTCACTTGCTTTGTGATCTAACATGTTTTCTGACCTGGAGAGTGATCAGTACGCATTAGAGTAGAACACATATAGTGATGTTTTAGGGTAGAGGAGCTCTTTATATATTGCAACATTTTGCCCCTTTTTCTATATGTAATATTTTCTGTTTGTTGGTATTTCAGTTAAATTTGTAAGATACCTTTTTTAGCTTCTATCCTTAGTATCCCTTTTAACTCTTAAGATTGCATATTTACTAATACTTTATACCTTTTTCTATTTGTATAAGACAATGCTGACTATTCAGTGTTGAAAGAACTTTGTAACCTTTATTCAGTTATGTTTATATATTTACCAGTCATTGCTTCTGTGAGCCTAAAAAGAAAAAAAAAAGGGGTAGATGATTATCAATTTATGTAAAATCTTGGTAAATTTGAAGTAATTTCTTATCATAGTGACTTATTTGTTTTTCAGAAGTAGCTGTGCCTGAATTACTGTCTCTAAGAAAACACGCTAAAGAACTGGTGGATGAAAACAATGGCTTGAAAATGACTGTCCATCATTTGAATGTGGAACTGAGTAGATACCAAACTAAATTCAGGCCTTTATCCAAAGATGAGGTAATGTTTCCAATTGAGAAAAGTCTCACGTTCATGTTTTTCTGGTCTTGACAGTCTCACAGGTTCTTATTTGCATAATTTAATATTAAAAAGATGCATCCAAAGCGAGGCGTTCCTCCGGCCCTCCTGGTTCCCTCCCTTCCATCACAAAGGTTGGCCATGACGGTGCTTGGCAGGGTGTTGGCATGATCCAGAAGTAAAAGAGCGACTGTGCTCCCCATGGATACAGTTCTGAGTTGTCAGAAACACAGGCCCTGGAAAGCAAGCGAGCAGGCTCTTACTTTAAGACAACAGATGAAATTTTCCAATTCAACACACTTTTCTTTTTTAAGAATCATTTTATTGGGGGCTCGTACACCTCGTATCACAATACATACATACATTCATTGTGTCAAGTACATTTGTACATTTGTTGCCATCATCATTTTCAAAGCATTTTCTTTCTACTTGAGCCCTTGGTATCAGCTCCTCATTTTTTCTCCCCTCCCCCCCTTTCTCCATCATGAACCCTTGATAATATATAAATTGTTATTGTTTTCAACAAACTTACTGAATAAGCCACTAAGTGAGATGCTAAATTGGTTCCTGTAGCTGCTGTCACCATCAAGGTGGTGGCCTAAAGCAGCAGAAATGTGTTTTGTGGTGGTGTGGAGGCCAGCAGGGGTCTGGCAGGCCCGGGCTCCCATGGAGGCTCTGGAGGAGAACCCGTCCTTGGTCTTCTAGTTCTGGTGATGCAAGCATTGCTTGGCTTGTGGCTGCACGGCTCTCATTTGCCGCTATCTTCATTATACCTTCTCATATTTTGTCTTCTCCTGGCCATCATGGGGATACTTGTTATTAGATTTAAGGTTCACCCACGTAACTCATTTTGTGGTCATTAACTTAAGGTCTCCCAAGACCTTTTTTTTTTTTCCAAATAAAATTACAGCTCAAGATTCCAGGGATTAGGATACGGGCAGATCTTTGGTTGGGCCACCATTGTTGGGTGTCAGGAGTAATTGATGAGCCAGGTCAGGTCCTTGCTTCTTGAGAGCACATGTATGTAAGGGACATGTGTGTCTACAGCTCAGACTCTAGCTCTGGCGGGGTGAGGGCAAGCGTATCGGATTAGGGTCTCATGTAGCGTCTCGGAGTTAGCAGGGAGCCACATCTTCTGATTGAATGGCAGCTTTTTTTTTCTTTTTTACTGTTTGGTCATAGCACTTTCTTTTTGAAGTAAAACTTAGTTTTAACTTTTTCTTATCAATAGCTTTGAGATATAATTCACAGACTGTAAAATTTACCGCTTTAAGATAAACTGTTTCACTGGTTTCTAATGTATTTACAGACGTATGAAACCATAACCATAATCAACTTTAAGCCTTTTCCTCACCTCAGCAAGAAAGCTTCTGAGCAATGACTTCCCACATGCTGCTCCCTTAGCCCCTGAAACATCAAACTTATTTTCTGCCTCTGTGAATTTGCCTGTTCTGACTTTCTGTATAATTGAAATCATACAATAAGTGTTCTTTTATGATTGACATCTTACACTTAATATAATGGTAACTTTTTTCTAGCAGAAAAAAATGTTTAATTTCAGTTCCTGGGGCCACATAATACAAAACATGCTTCCTCATTCTCTGGTAGATGCCGATTATTTTTGCTGATGGGAAAGTTACCACTGAATGTGGGTGGGTTAGGCCAGGTTGACTAGAGAAACAAATCCAGGGACACTCATGTATGTGTACGAAAGAGCTTTCTATCAAGAAGTAACTTTTATCAAGCAAACATCCCAGCCCAGTCTAGATCAAGTCTGTAAGTCTGATACTAGTCCATAAATCCCTCTTCAGACTCAGGCAGTCACAGCAACGGTGCAGGATGCAGCGTCTTGTGAAGCCAAGGGCGGTGGGCACACCTCCAGGCTCTGGTCACCATCAGGGTCAGCCAGTAGGAAAGAGAAGGCAGAGAGAGGGGAGGAGGTCCCCAGGGCCCTCCTTATGAGAAGGTCACACCCACAAGGAGGCACCATCAGGCTGCAACCTGATTGACAGGTTGAATACCAGCCCTACACTTCTACGTATCTTCAAACTGACATGAAATTATGTAACTACCACAGTGGGTGAAGTGACATAGCTTAACCAAAGTAAACAATCTCATGAAGATATACATAAGAGAAAGGACCTTTTGATAAAAGCTTGGGCAAAAATAATTTTACAATATCAAAAATCACAAAAAATATGTGTGTAGGTATAAATGTCTGTCAGTTTGTCTATATGTATATATGTACAAGGGAGCGCTAGGAAGTTTGTGAAAAATTTCCATTGTCTTTTGGCCCCAGTTCTCCACAAACTTTCTGAAGCCTCCTCTGTAGATATGTGTCTGGACGGGCATATTTACAGGAGTGTGTGTGTGTGTGTGTGTGTGTGTGTGTGTGTGTGTGTGCAAGCACATAAGGGAGTACTGTTAAGATTCCCCTAGTTAAAACTTGGGATTGGTATTTGGGGTTTGAAGATTTAGGACCACACAAAGTTTATGACTCTGTCCTGGTTTGATAAGTAATATCTGGGGTCTTACAAGTTTGTGAGGATTCCTGTCAGGTACAGTGATTGGTCTTATCTTGGTCTGGAGCCAAAGAGAAAGAAGGAAACCCAAGACTCTGAGGAGAAACTCATCGATAGGATGAACTGACTACACAAACCTTGGCCTCTTTTACCCAGACTAGAAGAACTAGGTGATGCCCAGCTAGCACTAGCAATCATCCCTTTGAATGCAGTAGATGGGTTGGGTCTTGATAGAATGGGATGAACAGCTGGAGCAGAATTCAAATTATTAAAAACACAGGCTTACCAGATCAGTTTCTATTGGAGGACCCCTGGGCCTATTGCCCTGAGGTACTCTTAAACAATCTTCTCAGGTCACCTAAGGATAACAGATGTACTTATGAAATAAAGAATATGACCCACGAGTACTGTGCATAAAAAATGTGAAACCTAAGGGACAAAAATTAAAGCAAAGATGGGCAAGTATGGGGCAGGGAACAGGATGTGGACACAGAACACCCTGGCCAGAGCGTGAGCATGGTGGTACAGTGCAAAGAAGAGCAACGCTTGAATGGGCGCCTGTTCTGAAGGGGCGGTGGGCAGTCAGGCCCCGGGACACACTCCCCCAGTGTGCACGCCATTCCAGCCAGTGCAGGTGCCACGTTCTCCACCTGTCATCCTGGTCACTTGAGCCAGACGTGATCACGCCCTCTTTTCAACAGTGATCGGCTTTGGTTTGTAAAGGCAGGTCTAGTATTCTACCCTGAACTATGGCTCTGTACTACGTGAACTTGTGTCAGAAGAAACACCTCGTTTTTAGGTCCCCAAATCTCTGGAAATAGGGATTGTGCGGTAATGTCTACAATGGCTTAATGCATTCTCAATATTGACTAAATAATGAGTGATCAGGTGAAGTCACTAGAAAGTTACATCAGGGTCATTGCCTCTGTTCTGATGTAATAGCTACTACCAGGGTTGTCAACAACGAGCAAACAGGACAGAATAAATACAGAAGTCAACTGCTTAAATAAGTGTCAGGCAGAAGGCAGCAGTCTACATTCACTCCCTGGGAGACATTACGACTACAATCCTGATGGAGCTATGCTAATGCAGCCAAAGCCCTGGAGCTGGAGGAGCTCCATGGAGACCCACGCCAGCTCTGAGATGCTTCTACCACCACTGGATCCACAAAACTTTCCACCCACTGGCCTGTGATCTTCCTGCATTCGGCATCATTGTATGTGTCTTGTGAGTTTGAAGAGGAATTTATAGATTGGTTTCGGATATATGGACTAATATCGGACTTATGGACTTGATCTGGACTGGGCTGGGATGTTTTCTCAATATTCAATTGCTCTTGTATATAAAGTTCTTTCTTATACACATATGAGTGTCTCTGGATTTGTTTCTCTTGTCTACCCAGACTAACAGACCAGGGCTCCTTGACCCACCATAAACCAGGTCAAAAACAAGCCTCAAAAGCTTCCAGCCAATCCATAAGTTATTTAACAGCCTGCAAAGAGAGAGAGAGAGAGAAATCAGCACTTCGTAAAGGATGCTGATAACAATTCAGACATGTAACATGCAAAAGCCCAGCATCAAATCCAAAAGTATCTGTTCCAGGTGAAAGGAGATGAAAGAGACTTGACTACCACATGCAACATGTGAGTCTAGGGTGGATACAAAATTGGAAAAATTTAAATATAATGTCAAGACAAAAAAAAGTATTTTTATCAGAGTTGCTTTCTTAATTTTCACAGTCATACTGTGGTTAAGTAAAAAGAATGTTAGTCCCCTTTTTGGAAGTATATACTGAAATATGTAAGAGAAAAGAGATAGCATACCTGAAAATCATTCTCAAATATTTCAGGAAAAGATTTCTCATACAAACTATATAATACATACAAAGAGACTTTAAAAAGTCCATGAAAGAATGGTATTGAAAGAACATGGACTTTTTCTAGGACCTATTTGTACCCCCTTGTCTATACATATAGATACATAGATATACTTCACTGATAGCTCATCTACATTAAGAACAACTAAGGGTTAACATTTGTGATAGTGTGATAAGTTTATCGTGCCAACTCGGCCTCCATAAGAACATGCGGATGGAGTTGAATCAGGTCACAGGTTGATTGGAGGGCGACCAAGATAAACAAAGATGGCTGGCATCCAGTGTCTCCCTTCCCAGTGATCTGGCCAGTGTGCAGCTGCTTGAGCTAGTGTGCTGCGTTACTGTTGGCCAAGTCAACCTGTGGATCTTGTTACTAGAGCTTGAGACTCCTTCGAGATCAGCTTCGCCAAGCTGCTGGTGTGAACATTGCCTAAACTTGAGGCTGGTGGATCCTGTCACCCTGTATCCCTTGAGTTCGAGATCCCATCGGGGACCTGCTCCCATACTGCCGACTTATTTACCCACCCTGCTGTCTGAACCTGCGGGCAGTCTGCCGTCTGCCTGAGGGAAGGCTCCACTGTCTGCGGATCAGCAGCCCTCATGAGTTGAAGGACTTTCAGTATATTAACTGTTCCACCAAAGTGAGTTGAACAGCCCTCTGTCCTGCTGTGTGGACTAATTAGCTTTTGTATTACTTCTCGCTGTATCAACCTATCCTCTTATATATAATCGTAAGTGTCCTGGTTTTATTTCTCTAGAGAACCCTGCCTAACACATTTCAGAGCATGTGTACTTTAATTTGCCTTATTTGTTTTGCTCTTAGAGTTTAAACACTGAAGGCCTCCCATCAAAGGGCCCCGCACCACCCTGGTTGGTAAGTGAACAGTTTAATTCCAGCACCCTGTTTTCTGGGTTGTATTTGACTGACTATTCAAAACCACTCGAAACTAGAGTTATATCTGTAGCCTTTTATTTTTAATCTGTGGCCTTTTAAAAGTTGCTGAGTGTATTTACATGTTAGGGTATATGAGTCCTCTTCTTGCTCCATCTTCTTCAGGTGGATGTAAAGTACCTGTCGCCGTTGCTGCTGGCTTATGAAGACAGGCTGAAAGCGCAGGATGAGCTCACTGCCCGCCTCCAGGTAAGTTGCCACGTGTCTTTGACAAAGTTTATTAAACGTGTTTCAGACTCTGAAGAAATAGTTTGGTGGTGGGTATGCCCAACATATGAGAGTAAGTGAAAAATATCACAATAAATCATATAAACCTTTATTAAGCAAACATATCGGAATGTGAACCTGTCGTTCCTTGAAACACCCTCGATGTGGGTCTCCACACTCCTGTAGGCAGTGCTCCGTCTCGGTGACCTTTCACAGGGAATTCTGTGTTCTGCGATTGACAAGTCCAAACGGTGGTTTGGGCATCTGTCAAATCACATTCTGTTTAAGCGGAGGTTTTTGGTTTTGTGTTTTGAGAAAAAGAACTGCGAGACTTTTTGAGTGGATGGATGTCCCAGTGAAGTTCTCTCTTGGAGAGGGAGCGCTGTCACGATGGAAAACATTCTTCAATGTGACTCTCAGGGTCCCTTCTCCAATGCACTTTTCCATTTTCTTAGTATGGCCGCGTAAGAGGCCCCTGTGACTTCCTGTTTCCTTCAGAAATCCGTCACAATGACTCCTTTATAGAATCCCCCAAACCAGTCACCATCGCCCTCTGAGTTGCCCTCTGCCTTGAACTTATTAACAGCCCAGCAGAATTCTTCTGAAGCCACTGTTGGGATTGGACTTTTTATTATTATTATTTTTTGATCATTTTATTGGGGGATCTTAAAGCTCTTATAACAATCCATACATCTAGTATGTCAAGTACATTTGTACATATGTTGCCATCATCCTTTTCAAGACGTTTTCTTTATACTTGAACCCTTGTATCAACTCCTTATTTTTTTTCCTCCCTCCTCCACCCTCCCACCCTCATGAACCCTTGATAAATTATAAATTATTATTATTTTCATATATTCCACTGACCGATGTCTCCCTTCGCCCATGTTTCTATTGTTTGTCACCCTGGGGGGAAGGGGTTATACGTCAGTCATTGTGATCGGTTCCCCCTTTTGCCCCCCAACCTTCCCCCTACCCTCCTGGTATCGCTACTCCATTATTGTTGCTGGGGGGTTATCTGTCCTGGCTTCTGTGTTTCAAGAGCTCTTATCTGTACCAGCGGCGTATATGCTCTGGTCTTCAGATTTATAAGGTGGAATTGGGGTCATGATAGTGGGGGTGGGGAAGCATTAAAGAACTAGAAGAATGCTCTATGTTTTGTCAGTGCTATACTGCACCCTGGCTGGCTCTTTTCTTCCTTGTGACCCTTCTGTGAAGGGATGTCCAATTGTCTACAGATAGGCTTTGGGTCTTCTGATGCCTGATCCTATCAACACTTCATGATCACACAGGCTGGTGTGCCTCTTTCATGTGGGCTTTGTTGCTTCTCAGCTAGGTGGCCGCTTGTTTTTCTTCAAGCTCTTAAGACCCCAGATACTATATCTTTTGATAGTCGGGCACCATCAGCTTTCTTCACCACTTTTGCATATGCATTGATCACATCAGGAAGGTGAGCATCAGAGAATGCCAGGTTGTTAGAACAAAGTGTTCTTGCATTGAGGGAGGACTTGAGTAGAGGCCTTATTGAGCCATTGTTTTTTTTCCTTTTCTTTTCTTTTTTTTAAACATTTTAGTAGGGGCTCATACAACTGTTATCGCAATCCATACACACATGGACATTTGTACTCGTTTCTCAAAACATTTTCTCTCCACTTAAACCCCTGACATTAGGTCCTCATTTTTCCCCTCCCTCCCCGCTCCCCACTCCCTCATGAGCCCTTGATAGTTTATAAATGGGTATTTTGTCATATCTTGCCCTGTCCTACGTCTCCCTTCACCCACTTTTCGGTTGTCTGTCCCCCAGGGAGGAGGTCACACACAGTTCCATGTAATTGGTTCCCTCTTTCCTACCCGTTCTCCCTTTACCCTCCCTGTTTTGCCATTCACACCACTGGTCCTCTAGGGCTCATCTGTCCTGGATTCCCTGTATTTTCAGTTCCTATCTGTACCAGTGTACCTCCTCTGGTCTAGCCAGGCTTGCAAGATTGAATTCGAGTCATGGTAGTGGGAGAGGGGAGGAAACATTTAGGAACTAGAGGAAAGTTGTATTTCTCATCATTGTTACATCGCACCCTGACTGGCTCATCTCCTCCCCGAGACCCCTCTGCAAGGGGATCCCCAGTGGCCTACTAATGGGCTTTGGATCTCCACTCCGCACTCCCCTCATCATTCACTATGGTAAGATTTTTTGTTCTGATGATGCCTTACACCTGATCCCTTCGACACCTCGTGGTTGCATAGGCTGGTGTGCTTCTTCCATGTGGGCTTTGTTGCTTCTGAGCTTGATGGCTGCTTTTTTGAAAGCACCCTCACAAGACCACTGAGACAACTTGCTGCAGCTCTCCATTGATCTCCGAGACAGGTTTAAATACATCTTGTCGGGAATAAACTTGCGCATTGATGAACTGGAACCACCGTAGCAATGCTTTTTGATTTAGCCTCATAAAATATATGTCCAATGTCCAAATGTTTGTGTTAAAGAAAGAAGAGAAAGGAGAGCCACCGGCAAGGCAGGCAGGCAGAAAAGGGAGAGGAGGAGAGCTTACCTGGCTGTGTTGCTTTCAGTTAAACATAAATGTCTGATAACTGGGTAAAGAACATTGAGGTGCATAGGTTTGGATTCGTGGCAGGTCCGATCCCATGGGCCTTTCACAGTGTCCCATGCTAAAGCAAATGGTCACCCCAAACCATTGCCTGGCTTTATCCAGTGGGCTTAAGACACTGAAGCGTGTTGCACAGTGAAAGAAAAGAAAGAACATTGAGAAGTATTCCAGAAAAGTCATCTAAGAGTCTCACTGGAGGCCAGCGCAAGGCACTGGAAGTAGCCAGAGGCTGGCTGAGGGAAGTCTGGGGCCTAACAGCACCCAGCAGAAACACCTCTTAGCAACGGGGCCCTGGCATGGAGCCCTGCGCTGGGCTATTGGCTGGCAGTGCCGTGTTGACTGATGGCTTGCCACCCTAGTTCTCCACCACCAAAAGGGCTTTATTTATTGTTATTTCTTTTCCCCGGCCCCAAGGAGAATCTTTAATTAAAGATGGTGTCTCTTACTTTTGTCTTAAATACCAACGGGAAAATTAGTGTCTATAGTCATCTCTGCTGCTTTCCTCGGACTACTTTTTTTGTTGACATTGACACATTTATTGTTTTACTGTCATATTGGCATAAAATTCAGTTCAAAAGTTCATTTACATCAAAACAAGTTGTACAATCAGACTTAGAACATTTTCTTCATTCTTCTTTTAAAATCATTTTATTGGGGGCTCGTACAACTCTTTTCACAACCCATACATCCATCCATTGTGTCAAGCACATTTGTACATTCATTGCCCTCATCATTCTCAGAACATTTGCTCTCCACTTGAGCCCCCAGCATCAGCTCCTCATTTTTTCCCCTCCCTTCCCATTCCCCCATCCCTCATAAACCCTTGATAATGTATAAATAATTATTATTTTGTCATATCTTACACTGTCCGATGTCTCCCTTCACCAACTTTTCTGTTCTCCATCTCCCAGGCAGGAGGTTATATGTAGATCCTTATAATCTGTTCCCCCTTTCTCCCTCACCTTTCCTCTACCCTCCCCACTGGTCTTGAAGGGATCATTTATCCTGGATTCCCTGTGTTCCCAGTTTTTTTCTGTACCAGTGTACATCCTCTGGTCTAGCCAGATTTGTATGGTAGAATTGGGATCATGATAGTGGGTGGGGAGGAAGCATTTAGGAGCTAGAAGAAAGTTGTGTTTCATTGTTGCTACACTGTGCCCTGACTGGCTCGTCTCCTCCCTGTGCTCGATCCTTCTGTAAGGGGGTGTCCAGTTGCCTGCAGATGGGCTTTGAGTCTCCACTCTGCACTCCCTGCCTCATTCACAATAATATGATTTTTTTTGTTCTTTGATGCCTGATACCCGATCCCTTCAAAACCTTGTGGTCACACAGGCTGGTGTGCTTCTTCCCTGTGGGCTTTGTTGCTTCTGAGCTAGATGGCTGCTTGTTTACCCTCTGACTACTTTTTAAAAATAGTTTTATTGGCATGTACTTTATCATACAAGTTAACCATTCAGTCATATTTTTAAAATGTGCATTTATGACCATAATCAATTTCAGAACATTTTTTCCTCATACTCGTTGCTAGCTTTCCTACTTATTTTGAGGGAGAACCATGAGAATTGGCTTAATGGCAGTGAGTGAGTGAGTGAGTCAGTGAGTGAGTGAGTGAGTGAGTGAGTGAATGAGTAAGAGAGAGAGAGAGAGAGGATATAACAGAAATAGGAACTAAAAACTTGGGCTTCTCTGCGAGGAGACCTGGTGAGTAGTGGTTACGAGTTGGGCTATGACCCGCAAGGTTAACAGATTGGAAACACCGGCTGCTCCTCTGGAGAAAGACGGGGCTTTGATCTCCCATAAAGAGTTACAGCCTCAGAAACCCGCAGGGGCAGTTCTGCTCTGTCCTATTGGGTCACTAGAGTTGGCAATGACTGTGGCAGTGAGTTTGGGTTTGGTTTGGGGGCTCTTCAGTCCCATGTTGTTGGTGTTGTCACGGCCTCTTACCTGTCTTCTAACTAGGCACAAGCTCCCTGAGGGCAGGCACATCTTGATGGTACCTATAGCTTCAGGCTGCTGTTAAGTGATGTTTTGTTAAATGTTGTTAGTGTTTGATCTGTGTCATAATGGCAGTAGTAGAACTGACACAGTGTAGGCGTGTGTTACACTCTGTGTACATATTTTCAGGAGGAAATGAAGATATTTCGGATGCGAGTTCAAGAAGTGGTGAAAGAGAATGAAGAATTGCACCAAGTGATAAATAAGAGTAGTCCGGTTACCAGTAAGGAATGGCAAGTGCTGTTGTGTTTTTGGTATTTTGCTCATTAAAAAAAGATAAAGAAGAATAAAGTTTATTAAGTAATCATACACTTTGTTTTTAACTAAAGTATTTTAAGTGAGAGTTTGTAAGACATACATGCACTAAAATCCTAGTAAATTATTTTTAACTTGTACTTGAAAGGTCACTTTAAAGATTCTCGTTTCTTAAACCTGCAGCTTCTCTGCCTTCTCAGGTGGCATTTTTCTGTTTGTTTTCTGAAAATTATCCAAAACTCCCCCCCAAAAAGGAAGAAGAGGGAGGAAAGGCCCTACTTTCCAATCCACCTTCCTGCAGTGTCCCCGAAGCCTGTGTGTACTGGGGGTGACATCTGCCCTCTCTGCTCCAGCTCCCTGGCCTGTGTGTCATTTGGAGGGGCAGGTGGCCTGCACAGTGGACGGTTCCTGGCTGGCCTCCCTGAGGCCACAGGCTGGCTTCTGCAGCCCCACTTCACAGGCCACTGCCAGCCCATGAGACTGCTAGCACTGGTGCTGCCCACAAGCCTCCTGACCACCTGGCCCTGGCCAGATGTGTAGCTGCCAGACCTGTTCTCGGCACTCAGGAGCACTGACTTCACAGTTTACTACAAAGTGTCCTCCTCCTTCCATGTCTCCATGAACTTCTCTTGGTGACCTCTAAACTCTGCATTTCTTTTCCTGCCTGACCAGTTGGGTGACCTTGGACTTGATGGAATGTGATATAAAATGGGAGGGAGGGAGGGAGGGAAAGGAGGAACGAGGAACACTGGCAGAGGGGAGGGGACGGAATCTAAACTGTAAAGTAGATCAAATCCGGGCTGCCCTGGGTGGGGTAGGGGTGAGGAGGCCAGTCTGGGCACAGAGAAGGCAGCTTCCAGGCCTCTGGGAGCAAGTGAAGGGACCGCTGTAGCTTGGCTCCTGACATCTTTTTCATCTACTCCTTGTGCCTTGCATTCTTAGCTGCATGGTCAAACCGGAGTTGGCTGGTTTACATTGTGTTGGGGCGGTTAATGTTTGGACTGATGTCACTTGAGCGCATTGGAGACGATGGTTGTGCAGGTCGAGCGGCGGGGTTTCCTTAGCATCCGCTGTGAGCAACAGGTTTGTTCATGGTGAGCTCAGCCAAGGATGGTAATAACTGCTTTTCAGCAGTTATGCTGCTAATGACAAGTAGATCTTTTAAAATTACAATGAGAACTTTTTCAAGTTTTTAAAACAATACTTCAGGAAACCCAGTGGGTGGAGGGGATTGGAAGTATATATCGATGAAACAAGATTGGCCACTGGATAATTGTTTAAACTGAGTGTTGTGTTTTGGTTTTTTTTATCCAGTCTGCCTGCTATGGTGTACATTAGAAATTTCACATCTTAAAAATATATTGAAATAATTCATAACTCAGCCTTCATAACTAGCTTTTCCTTCAATTTAATGTAAATTAGCAAAAGTTGCTTATATAAATAATATATCCAACGGAGACATGTCCCACTACTCATTACTTGCAAGGTATTAACTGCTATCCTTTAGGCTCCTGAGTGTTTCTTTAATCAATCAGAATTGCAATAACTTACCTTTATGAATGAATTGTAGGCATCAGCTTCAGACTCAGGCAGAACTGGTTTTAGAGGAAAACAAGTTGTTGATGGAGCAGCTGGAGATTCAGCAGCAGAAAGCCCAGGCCGCCAGCCAGGAGCATCTGCAGGAAGGTGAGAGCTCTCCCCACGGAGTGACTGCAGTGCAGGGGGGTGACTGCCACTGGGGCATGCCGTCTCACACAGGGCCTTCCTCTTCTCTGCGCCTCTGGTCCCCAGCATGGGCTCTTCTCCAGGGACTGCTCCCTCCTCGTAACATGCCCAAAGCACATGACACGAAGTCTGCCCTCCTCCTTTCTTCTTTTTTTTTTTTTTATTTCCAAGATGTATTTATTGGATTATGTAAACAATGAAA